CTCTCTCTCTCTCTCTCTCCCTCCCTCCTCTCTCTCTCTCTCTCTCTCTCTCTCTCTCTCTCTCTCTCTCCTCTCTCTCTCTCTCTCTCTCTCTCTCTCTCTCTCTCTCTCTCTCTCTCTGGACAACTCTCCTTTCTCCCTCTCTCTCTCCTCTCTCTCTCTCTCTCTCTCCTCTCTCTCTCTCTCTCTCTCTCTCTCTCTCTCTCTCTCTCTCTCTCTCTGGGACAACTCTCCTTTCTCCCTCTCTCTCTCCTCTCTCTCTCTCTCTCTCTTCCCTCTCTCTCTCTCTCTCTCTCTGTGTGTGTGTGTGTGTGTGTGTGTGTGTGTGTGTGAAACCCTTATTTTTAATGTCTTAATGAATTTTTAAATTATTTTTAAATTTTTAAATTTTTAAATGTTTTAATTGATTTGTGATTTTTAATTTTTGGGCCAAATTTATATATATTTTAATTGTTTTTATTATTTGTATTTCATGTTCTTAATTCTGGCTGTACACCGCCCTGAGTCCTCAGGGAGAAGGGCGGTATATAAATTGGAAATAAAAATAAAAAATAAAAAAATAAATTATCTGGAGGCAGGATGAATGTTGAGGGGTCCAATCTCCAAACAGGCTAATTGGGGTGTCAGAATGGCCAATTTTTAGGCCCAGTGTAATCAAGAATAAAAAAACGGACTTCAACACGGATTCTCCCGACATTTGGGCTGACAGTTAATGAGAGGTGAGGTGGGGGTGACAGGTGAGGACGGATTGGGAAAGCACTCGGGGGGCAGGGGGGGAATGACAGGCGGCTCGGCAAAAAATGTCAAGCGATGATCCCTTGCTCTTTAGAAAAATAAAATAAAATTAAATTAAAAAAAATAGGAAGTTCCACGCTGGGTTTTAGGAAAGAGCTGAAAAGGAAGCAGCCAGCGTGGAGCTCACTTTTGACAAATCCATTGGGAAGACCGGCTTCTAATAGGGACGAGTGGTTGGGGAGACCCCACACCTGAAGAAGGATTGAAGGATGGAAAAGACGTAGAAAAAGGCCACAAGAATTCTCTCTCTCCCTCCCTCCCCTCTTTCTCCCTTTCTCCCTCTCTCTCCCTCCCTTTCCTTCCTCACTCACTTCTTCTCTCTCCCTCCCCTTCCTCCGTCTCTCTCCCTCCCCCTCCCCCTTCCTGCCTCTTCTGTCCCTCCCCATCTCCCTCCTCTCTCTCCCTCCCACTCCCCACTCTCGCTCCCTCCCTCTCCCTCTCTCCCTCCCTCTCCCTCCCCTTCCCTTCCTTCCTCTCTCTCCCTCCCTCTCTCTCCCTCCCTCCCCTTCCTTCCTCTCTCCCCCCCCTCCCCTTCCCTCCCTCTCCCTCCGCTTCCTCCCTCTCTCTCTACCTCTTCCCTCTCCCTCCTTCCCCATCTCTCCCTCCCTCCCTCTCTCCCTCTCCCCATTCTTCCTCCCTCTCCCTCCCTTCCCCCTCTTTCTCCCAGTCTCCCCCTCTTTTCCCTCCCTCTTCCTCCCTCCTTCTCTCCCCCTCTCTACCGCCCTCCCTCCTCCGTCCCTCTCTCCTTCCCTCCCCCCTCTGTGGTTTTATTTCAAGGACTGCCTGTACTTTCCTACCTTCTCGCCCAGAATGCTGGTCTGTGGGATCTTGGCTTGATCTAACAGACCTCTTTGTCTATTTCTTAATGATCAGACTCTTTTCTTCAGTTTTCTCTTTCCTTTTGCTTGTTCCGCTGCGGTGAGTTTATTCATTTGCTGTCTTTGTTTTTTTTTTTCTTTATGATACCCTGGAAATTACTTTTAATTGATCTGTTCGAATTCTGCAAAGGGTCTAGGCTTAGGACCCCCCCCCCCGCACTTTCCGTGCGCCACTTACAATGCACAAAGTGACCTTTCCCTCCCTCCCTCCCTCTTCCTTCTCCTTTGGCGTGCATTTAATAAACTTAAATTTCCAAGGCTGAATATTGAAAGCTCCAACAGCTTTGTGACTTTTTAGCCCGTTTCCACTTTCGCTGCTTCCTCCTCAAACTCCATGCAAATCCTGGCAAAGTCTAAACCCCAAACTTCCCCCACCATTCGCAATAATAGCCAAACTCTGAAGTCTGATACTGCCAATGGCATTGCCAAGGATGGCATTATGTGGAGAAATTTCAGTGTATAGAATAGTTGTAACCCAGGTTGAACTGCGGGGGGTTTTTACTGCTCTCTTCTTATGGTTTTTTCAACATTTTTGCCCATTTGAAACTCCATCAGTGTTTAACACATGGAGGTTAGAAGGCAGGGGTTTGTGAAGGAGGAGGAGGTTCCTTGTTTTGGGGTTCCTTGTTTTCTTCTTTAATCATCATTTACCATTTTGGTCATCTTATCAGTTATAAAATCTGCAAAGAAAGGAGGAATTCTAGAAAAGACTCATAATCTATACCTGTGTTTCCTTGGAGCAGGAAAAGACTTGGTGGTTTTACTGAAGACATTTTAACACCCATTCTAGAAAACAAATCACATGCTACAACAGGAGTGGACTTTTAATGCAACTATATGTTATTTGTTGTGTATAAGTTATTAGTTATATTATTATATTAATATTATATTATATTATAATATATTATATTAATATTATATTATATTATAATATATATATTATATTATATTATATTATTATATATTATATATATATTATATTATATTTATTATATTATATTATTATATTTTATATTTATATAAATATTAAATTTATATAAAATTTATTTATTTATATACCACCCTTCTCCCCCGAAGGACTCAGAGCGACAGCCAGAATTATAGTTCTATTGTAACACTCCCACCAAGAGTGATAGCACAAGCCTTGTGTAGAAACAGAGAGCAAACCACACTCCCGTCCAACACTGATGATGTTGCCTAGATGGGAATGAAGAGACTGCAAGAAAGCAACCAAGCTCACAGCCTTCATCTCCCCATCTTCCTCCTCCTCCTCCACCTCCTCCTCCTTCTCCACTCCCTTCCAACACTGATGATGTTACCTGGATGAGAAATGAGATGTTTGTTCAAGACGATGTGAAAGAAGAGCCAGCGCCGTCTGAAGACGTCTCTGTGGTCATGTGGCCGGCATGACTCAACGTCTAAAGGCGCACGGAACGCTGTTCCCTTCCCACCAAAGGTGGTCCCTATTTTTCTACTTGCATTTTTTACCTGCTTTCGAACTGCTAGGTTGGCAGAAGCTGGGGCAAGTAACGGGAGCTCACCCCATTACGCGGCACCAGGGATTCGAACCGCTGAACTGCCGACCTTCTGATTGACAAGCTCAGCGTCTTAGCCACTGAGCTACCACATCCCTTTTATATATGTATATCCCTTTTATATTTTTTATATATATATATATGGGTTTTCTATCGAAGCAACCTGGTCTACCCGAATATGGGAAGGAGCATACTGCTTCCTTTCGCCTTTCTTCCTCCCAATCAGGGAGCCCTCAGGCAGTTGCTTTCACGACAAACTATTTTGTGTTAAATTTATATTTACTGAGAAATATAGGTTCAAATCCCAGAAGGGTATGGCTAGCTGATGAGAGCTAAATAGCTTGAAATAGATCTATACGAGTCTCCCTTTATTTTTTGTCAGTAAATATAAATTTAACATATATATATGTTATATATATATATATATAACTTAATATATGAAAAAGTTAAAATCTCGGATGTTTTTCCCGTGTCATTAAAAGTCTGTTAGTTAAAATCTTAAAATCCTGGCTAAAATCCCAGCTCAAAATCCTCTAAAATCCTAACAAAACACTTTGTAAGGTCTCTTAAAAACTTTGGCTAAAATCCTAACCAACACTTTAAAGTTAGCCAAAAAAAACCCTTTAAAGTGTTGGTTAGGATTTTAGCCAAAGTTTTTAAGAGATCTTACAAAGTGTTTTTGTTAGGATTTAGAGAGGATTTTGAGCTGGGATTTAGCCAGGATTTTAAGCATTTTAACTAAACAGACTTCTAATACAGGCGGAAAACACCCGAGGATTTAAACTTTTTATATACACACACCTGCGAAAACTTATCATAATACCAAATTTATATTCATTTGCAATACATAAATGATATATGCAGGCAGCCCAAGGATGCGAATCCCAGCAGCTATCGGGTATAGGCAAGTAAGCTGAATGCTATGATAGCTGTGATCTAGCTTTACTAGTTTGTCAATTATGGTGTTTAGTTTACCTCGTAATTGTGGCGCATGTCATGCATCCCAGTCCCCTCATTCTAGCTCTCAGCATCCCAGGAGCCCTGGAAAGAAGTCGCATTCACGGCAAACCATCTATACCAAATTTATATTTCTTTGATAAAGAAATAAAGGAGACTCTAGTATGAGCCTATCTATCAAGCTATTTAGCTTTCATCAGCTAGCCATACCCTTACTTGGATTCGAACTTGTATACACACACACACACACAAGTACACACATACATACCCGTAAATACACACACATATACTATATAATCATATAAAAAACATATTTAAACAACATTGCCAAACATCTTACGAAGTTGGTGCAGTCTGAGGCACAGCACACTTCTTCGTTCTCAATCCCAAATTTCATAACGCCTCAGCGTTTCCTCTAGTAAATACTTTTCTTTGCGTATGTTGTTATCTGCATTTGGTGCGCTGCCTGCCTGCCTTCTTCCTTCTTCTTCCTTCCTTCCTTCTACTTCCATTCCTTCCTTCCTTCCTTCCTTCCTTCCTTCCTTCCCTTCTCCTTTCTTTCTTCTTTCTTTTTCTCTTTCTTTCTTTCCCCCTGTCCCAAAGGGTCAACGAAGGCCCATTTTCATAACACAGCAGGGAATTGGCTTCTTTCTTTCTAGCAGCTCACTCAGGAATGAAGTTTGATTTTCCAGCAAGAATCTCCACAATTTTGGGGTGTGTGTAAACGTACCCTTAACTATGAGAGTTCGCTCGGGTTTTGTTTGTGTAGCACTTTTCTTTTATTTAACTTGTCGTATAAACTGATTGTGTTCTGTGTTTATTTACATGCTTCCAGGAAATGGAATGCAAGGTAAGAAGTCAAAATTGGGAGTTAATGGGATTTTTGTTGTTGTTGTTCAGTTGCTGAGTTGTGCTCAATCCTTTTGGGGGGGGGGGCTCGACCACAGCATGCCAGACACCCCTGTTCTCTACTGTCTCCTGGAATTGCCCAAATTCATGTCCGTTGTGTTGGTGACTCTGTCTAACCATCTCAACTTCTGCCGTCCCCTTTTCCTGACGCCTTCCATCTTTCCCAACATCGGGGGGACTTCTCCAAGGAGTCCTCCCTTCTCCTTTGGTGGCCAAAGTATTTGAGCTTCAGCTTCAGGATACTTCTGTCTTTCTAAAGGACAGCCAGGGTTGATTTCCTTGAGGATCGACTGATTGGATCTCCTGGCAGTCCAAGACTCTTCTCCAAGCACCACAATTCGGCGCTCAGCCTTCCTTATGATCCAACTCTCACAGCCGTAGATTAGCAAACAAATTTGCAAGCAAGCAGGGAGGGAGGAAAGGAAATAAGAAAGGAAGGAAGGAAGGAAGGAAGGAAGGAAGGAAGGAAGGAAGGAAGGAAGGAGAAAGAAATGAGAAAGAAAGAAGAGAGGGAGGGAGGGAAAAAGGAAAGAAGACGAAAGGAAGGACAAAAGGAGAGAGAAAGAAAGAAAGGAAAGAAAAGGAAGGAAGGGAGAAAGAAACAGAGAGAGAGAGAGAGAAAGAAAGAAAGAAAAAGAAAGAGAAAGAAAGAAGGAAAGAAAGAAAGAAAGAAAGAAAGAAAGAAAGAAAGAAAGAAAGAAAGAAAGAAAGAAAGAAAAAGAAAGAAAGAAAAAGAAAGAAAAAATTCAAAGGGAAGATTTGGTGGTCCATTAACTCTTTTTCTGCCATCAGTTTTCTATGTTTCTGTCAATGAATTTGTTGTATAGGTAGCCCTCAACTTACAACAATAGGTTTAGTGACTGTTCGAAGTTACAGCATCACTGAAAAAAATGACTTATGACCGTTTTTCACACTTACGCCCGTTGCGGCATTCCCCACGGTCACACCATCAAAATTCAGACGCTTGGCAGCTGAACTCATCATTATGACGGTTGTACTGTCCCGGGGTCACGCCATCCCCTTTTGTGACTTTCTGATAAGCAAAGTTAGTGGGGAATCCCAATTCACTTAACAACCGGGTTACCCCCCTTAACATTGGCAGTGTTTCACTTAGCAACGGTGGCAAGAAAGTTCGCAAAATGGGGGCAGAACTCACTTCACAAACATCTTCCTGAGCTACATACATTTAGGGCTCAATTTTGGTTGTAAAACGAGGACTACCTTTACAATGGCCCAGCGCTGGATTTTGTCTATTGCAAATCATGATTGTATGAATATCTTACCGGGCCAAAAAAACTGCAAGTTTCAATGCCTGCAGAAAATCTTTTGGGCAGAACTGATACCAAATGTTGATTTTATTGAAAGTCTTCATGTATGTTCTCTCCCTCTCCCTCTCTCTCTCTCCCCCTGCCCTCCCTTCCCTCCCTCCTCTCCTCCCCCTCCTCTCCCCCTGCCCCTCCCCTGCCCCTCTTCCTCTCCTCTACCCCTGCCCCTCTCCTCCCCTCCCCTCCCCTCCTCTACCCCTGCCCCCTCCCCTCCCCCTCCGCCTCCCCTCCTGTCGCCTCCTCTCCCCCTGCCCCTGCCCCTCCCCTCCTTTCCGCCCTGCCCCTCCCTTCTCTCCTTTCCCCCTGCCCCTGCCCCTCCCCATCCCTCCTCTCCTCTCCTCTACCCCTGCCCCCTCCCCTGCCCCTCCTGTCCCCTCCCCTCCTTTCCGCCCTGCCTCTCCCTTCTCTCCTCTCCTTTCCCCCTGCCCCTGCCCCTCCCCATCCCTTCTCTCCTCTACCCCTGCCCCCTCCCCTCCTGTCCCCTCCTCTGCCCCTGCCCCTCCCCTCCTTTCCGCCCTGCCCCTTCCTTCTCTCCTTTCCCCCTGCCCCTGCCCCACCCCTCTCCATCCCTCCTCTCCTCTCCTCTCCTCTCCTCTCCTCTCCTCTCCTCTCCTCTCCTCTCCTCTTTCCTCTCCAGGCCAAACAGCTAGAAGAAAAGGAAAAGGAGCTGAAGAAGCACGAGACTTACTACAAGGAGCAGCTGAACCGCCTGGAAGAGAGGGTGAGGGACTTTTCATTTTGCTTTTCCTGGAAAGAGGCTTTGCTGTGGAGGAGGCTTGATGGGAGTTTTACCCTTCTGCTTTTAAATGCACAGAACTGATGGGAGGAACCCTCTGATCTTGGCCAGCCGAGCTTCTGGGAGGAAGGACCTCTCTACCTGTCCTCATTTGCCGACCGCAGAAAGAACCGATCCTTTAAAACGGGGTTCCTCAGCCAGCTTTACCATAAACTAAACCGTTTCCTCTTTCAGGAATCTCTCTCTGTGTGTGTGTTTATGTGCGAACGGGAGCGGAATATGGGAATTAGCTCAGTGGAAAGCCTGGTGTTTTTTTTTTTTCTTATTTTAAAAAAAAATCAGGTAGTCCTTGACTTACGACCGTAATGGAGCCTGCTCATCCCAGTCATTAGTTATGACGGTCATAAATCAAGTCGTTCTTGTGGACCCACTGATTTTTTTTTTTGTGGTTGTAAAGCGATCACTGTGGTCGTTAAATGAACCTGTGGTTTGATATGCGGCCGGTATTGCCGAAAAGTGGAAGTAAACACTGGTTTTCAGCCAAACCGTCATAAAATGCAGTCGTGGGTCAGTAGGACACTGTGAACACTGAACAGCGATAAATGCGGGTCAGTTGCCAGTGGCCCAGAGATGGTCGTGTGATCGCAGCGGTCAGAACTTTGGAGCAGGGGGTCGTAAGAATCTGCCAGGAGGTCTATTGTAACGGTTACTAAGCAACCGGCCATAAGGTGAGGACTACCTGTAGAACGTTGCAAATTATAAAGCAGGTTCATAGTGAACATTTGGTGACCGCCTTAAAAAGTTCTTGTGGCTGAACCTGAACTGTTAAAAGTCATCTCATTTTTTTGAATCTTTGGGACTTTCACCCCCCCAAAAATTGCAGAAGTTGTTGCAAATTTCCTGGGAGGAACAGAATTCCAGAGTTGTCTGGCTCTCCAGCCAACAAAGGTCCAGCTTTTTAGACTGAAATATTAATAAAGGAGAATATTTACAGCTCAAGGTTGAAATGAGGGGTCTGTGGTGGTATCTGAGTTGGGTGGTTTTTCATGCAGACGTTTCATGACCCAACTAGGTAACATTATCAGTGCTAGTGGGGTTTGTGGAGTAGAGAAGGAAGAGGAGGAGGAGGAGGAGGAGAATTGTGGGGTCCTTGGTGCTCTCTGAGCTTGGTTCTTTTCTTGCAAATATTCCTTGACCCAAACTAGGTAACATCATTAGTGTTAGAAGGGTTTGCAGGGAGGAGGAGGAGGAGAAAGAGGAGGAGGATATGAGGAAGGGAGTGAGGTTATGGAGAAGAAAAAGGGGAGGAGGAAGAGGACTGTGGGGTCCTTACTGCTCCCTGAGCTTGGTTCTTTTCTTGCAGACATTTGATCACCAACTACGGAACATCATCAGTGCTAAAAGGGGCTTGCATCTAAACAGAGAGCAAACCTCACTCCCTCCCAGCACTGATGGTGTTACTTAGCTGGGTCATGAAACGTCTGCAAGAAAACCTGCAAACTGAGCCGAGGTGGCGCAGTGGTTAGGGTGCAGTACTGCAGCTACTTCAGCTGACTGCTAGTTCAGCAGATCAGCGGATCAAATCTCACCGGCTCAAGGTTGACTCAGCCTTCCATCCTTCCGAGGTGGGTAAAATGAGGACCCAGATTGTTGGGGGAAAATATGCTATTTAGTATACTGTCTTTGGGGTAAGCCGCCCAGAGTCCTCGGAGAGTGGGCGGCATAGAAATATGACTAATAAAATAAATAAAATAAATAAATAAACTCAGCAAGCAGCAAAGGCCCATCAGGCTGACATATTAAATTCGTTTGACCCAATCCAATGGTTTTCCCGGCGATTAAATTCTAATATCTCAGCCAAGGTTGTTTTCCTTGGCTCCTCCGGAGTCTTAAAGAAACTCAAGGCCACCCTTAGAATGGAACAGCTGACTTCCCTTTTGTTGCTAATCAGAAAAAAACAAACAAAATAACAGAACTTTTATTAACTGCTGTGTAAAATCCCACAGATGATAATTTACGGGTTTTGCCAAATGCTTCCTCTGGCTCTCTTGTTAAGCAATTTTTTTATTTTTTATTTTTTTTATAAAAAAGATGATTTAAAAACAACACGAGGAAGGTGGGGAAACGAAGAGGAAAAAGTGTTGCTGGGAAGACGCCTGTCAGAAACTCATTATTCCTACAATATGTTAAATGAATTTCAGCGTATGCTGCAGCTTCGTAGATTAGCTGCGAGAAGCAGAAATATATCCGCCCCCCCACCCCCAAAACGTTAAGTGCGATCTTTTGTCCCCTTGAAAATAATACTCCACATTTCATGCATATGGGAAAATAGGAAACTCTGTTTTATAGAATCAGATAATTTACCCAGCACAATAACGTCCCACTCTGGTTCCTGGGAGCTTTCCAAATAGGAATCGAAAGTCTTTACAAGACCCGTTGAGAGAGTCCCTTTTAACTGGAGATGCGTACCATGGAATTTGATATTTTTGGGATCAGGCAGAAAAACGTATTTATTACAGGTAGTCCTCGCCTTACGACCACAATGGAGCCCAACATTTCTGTTAAGCGAGACGTTTGTTCATACAATATTTATTGGTTCAATTTATTTATTGGTTCGATTTATATGCCGCCCTTCTCTGGAGACTCAGGGTGGCTTACAATGCGTTAAGCAATAGCCTTCATACTTTTGTATATACCTGCTTAGTAGGGCTTTCGCCGCCCCTAAGTGGTGTTCTTTTTTATACAAAGTCAGCTTATTGCCCCCACAATCCGGGTCCTCATTTTACCTACTGTTGTGACACCGACCCCTGAGTCCGTCTTATCGGAGGGAGAAGACTCTGAAGGTGAAGGAGAGGAGTTGGCCAGGCCTCCCTCTCCAGGACCCTCCTCTCTGGCAATGCCTCAGGTGTCTCCCGAAGGAGAAGAGATTGGCCAGGAGCCAGGTATTTCCGAACAGTCGCAGTCGGACAGTGATGGAGATAAATCTTGGCTGGATCCACACCAGCGTCGGAGAGACAAGCGCCCGCAACAGAAGAAAAGGCGTGCCAGAGATTAAGCTGAGTCACTGGACCACACCCCACAGGGGATAAAAGGGGATGTGGCCATTCAGGCTCTGTGATGGACAAAACTAGCGAGTCGCATTGTATCTCTGAAACTACGTTATCTGCCTGCCTTCGATTTAATACGGACTGGACTTGACAATTCTGTGGCTTTGTGTATTTGTTTTGGTTCTCTGTGAGTAAAGTTCTTGGCAAGCAGCTACTGGGTTGCTGCCAATCCTGTTATCGAAGGAATTTATTGTCTGCAAGTTTTATTTAACTCCTGGCTGACTGTTTGTGTGCGTGTGTGAGACAGGGACAGAACACCTACCTCGAAAGGATGGAAGGCTGAATCAACCTTGAGCCTGGTGAGATTCGAACTTGCAGTAATTGCAGGCAGCTGGTGCTACTTTAACAGCACGTAGTCAGCTGCGCCACCAAGGCTCTTGTATTTGTACTTGAGGGTTGAGTTATCCCTTTATCCATCTTATCCATGAAAGCAGGCTATGTGAGTTTGGGCCAATCATCAGGAGAACTGGTTCTTAAGGGGAACTTGATTGCAGAAATACCAAAAAAGAGAGAGAGAATATTTGTTGATCTGGGTTGAACCATGGGCTCCTTGGTGCTCTCTGAGCTTGGTGGTTTTCTTGCAGATGTTTCATGACCCAACTAGGTAACATCATCAGTGCTAGAAGGGAGTGGGGTTTGCGGAGAGGAAATGAAGGAGAAGGGAAGAGGCAGAAGGAAGATGAGAAGGAGAAGAACTGTGAGGTCTTCGGTGCTCTCTGTGCTTAGTGGTTTTGTTGCTGGATGTTTATGTCAGCACTTCAAGCTGCATTTACTCTAGTGCTGACATAAGAAGGAGAAATGGAGGCGTCTGGAAAGGGACATTTGACTTTTCACCTACTTATTTTCCCTGGAGATAATATCCCCGCCTAGGAGATGGGATGGGAGGGGGGAAATTCCTTTGAGCTGGAGCAGTAGATTAGGGGTAGAGTGACTTGGAAGATGGCCAATGAGTGCAGGGGAGTGGGGAACGGAAAGGGAGGGTTTTGGGGCTGGAAGTCAGTGTTGGCTTCGATGGAGTCGGATTTTAGAATGCCGTGCTTAATAAATTGGAGTTTTCCTTCAAAGACTTTGTTTGAAATGCAATTTATTTGAGACGACCTCGAAACCTGACAGTTTCATTACCCAACTAGGTAACATCATCAGTATCAGACGGGAGTGGGGCGTGGGGAGTGGAGGAGGAGGAGGTGGAAGAGAAGGGAAGAGGAAGAAGGAACACGAGAAGAAGTATTGTGAGGTCCTTGGTGCTCTCTGAGCCTGGTTGTTTTCTTGCAGATGTCTCATGACCCAAGTAGGTAATATCATCAGTGCTAGAAGGCAGTGGGGATTGTGGAGTGGAGGAGGAGGAGGAGGAGGGAAGAGGAAGAAGGAAGACGTGAAGGAGAAGAACTGTGGGCTCCTTGGTGCCTTCTGAGCCTGGTGGTTTTCCGGTCATTTGCATCCTTTTAGAGGATTGTTGAAGCACTTGGAGGTTTAATTCTGACTTCCTTCCAACCTCCAAATGGCCTCAAGGACTCTCTAAAAGGAATGCAAACGACCAGCTGTCCGCAAGGAGTATCAATCCTTCCATTCCCCACCATCCCATCAGAGCTGAAGAAGCCTCTTGGATGAGAAGCGAAACGTCTTCAAAGAAAAACCAGAAAGTCCAGTTGAAAAAAAAAGTATCTAAGACCCCATCATTCCTCTGGGTAACGACAATTTTGTTTCCAACGTGCCGATGCTAAAAAGTGAAGAAAAAGCGACAATCTGCCATTACCGAGTATTATCTCCCCTCTCCCTCCCATCACCGTCGCCTGGCTTGGATCATAACTGGGCCCATGAAACGAAACACGCCGTCCGTGTTTCAAATTTATAGCTGAGAAGGTGCATAATTAGAGAAGA